TCTGAATAGTAAGATCAGTTAGTGGCTGATGTAAAAAAAAAAACAACCTTCAGTTTGTTATTAAAGTATAGCTTGTTAATCTTAACACTTTCAAAACTAAACTGCTCTCTATTAATCATCTGAGAGGCCTCTTCTCTGGTTTCCGTCAACATGGTTGATGCTAACCTCCAGGAGACTGACTCATTGTGTCTTCTTGTGCTAACATTCTCAACAGACATGAAGTGGAAAACCTATATTGAATCCATTTCTATGTCAGCTGCTAAGAAAGTTGGTTCACTGTGTCATGCTAGACATTTTTTCTCTCCAGAATCTATCAATGTCTATGATTCGTCCATCATGCTTACAATATTGCTGCCACATATCATCTGTTGCTCCTGTTATATATCTAGAGATCCATGATAAGTTGCAAAGAACAATCAGCAATATTATTGGTCCTGATCTGGCATCTCAGCTTCAATCACTTTCCCATTGCCATAAAATTGCCCCTCTTTGCCTTTTCTATAAATTTTTTCATGGCAACTGTTCAGATGAGCTCTTCACTATGCTACCTAGATTTAGATTTTGTGAGTTTAATTTCAGTACTAGACTGGCAATGAGGTCTCACCAATTTACAGTTGAGTTGGTTAGGTGTAACTGAGTTCTATGCTAACAGTTACTTTTCTCACACTTCTTGCTTATGGAACTCGCTTCTATGTTTTCTAGTCAAATTTAAATGCAATGTCAATCACTTTCTACTTTCCTTCTGATTACTCTTTTTCTGGTCTCACTACTTAACAATATTTCTGTTTTCTAATTCATTTATAAATCAATCATTCATCCATGGAATTAATATTGCTGTCACATTTGGTATGGTACTATTTCTATATATTTAGAGATTCTTGATAAAATCACTTTTTTTTTCATAAACATTTTCATAGTAATTGTTCTGATCTTTCCTTCTTGGTGCCTTAACTTTATGAAAATAAGCACAGTACTAGATTGGCAGCTAGGTCTCATCATTTTATATTTGAAATTAAGTTCTATGCTAAGAGTTTCTTTTCTTGCACTTGTTAATTGTTATCCTATGTCTTCTTGATTTTCTCTTCAATAATGCCTTTTTTCTCTCATATTCTTTCACACTGAATAACCTCTTGTCTCATAGTGGCTTTATTGCTTTCTTTGGGTCAAAATAATTAAAAAAATTATATTGTTTATTGTCATCTAATAATAGGAGTAGATATATAGTCATAAGTTGTTCAAATTTCTCCTATGAATTATTAACATTATTTGTTTTTTTTCCATATTTGTTGTTTTTTATTAAAATGTTTTACATTCTATGACTAATCTCAAGATTGATCAGAAATAAAGTATCATCTTCTCATAAGATTTTAACTAACATTTCTTATGTACCATGAACATTTTTGATTTTAGCTCTCCATAACTTCCTATCATTTAATGCTCTAAGTAAGTTTTTCCTCCCTGATGATAACACTTTATTTTTGGTATTTGTTCTGCCATCTATCTTCTCTTTCTGTTTTTAACTTCTCTTGTCTTCAATGTGCTGTATGAGTGTAAAGCAGACCAAGCCTTCTTTTCTCATTATATGTCCCAGAAAATTTAACTCTTTTTCTACAGTTTCTTTATAGTACCAATTTTACTTAGATTTTCAAAATCTCAAATAATTTGTCATACATTTCTCAGTAGAACCACATCTCTGTCACTTCAAATCTTAGAAGATTATACATCAGAGCCACCTATTGATCCTTTTTTATCCTCTAAACCCTGCTAAGTTTCTGAAAAGCATCTTTCAATATTCCTATTCATTTATGTATCATATATTTTATCCTTTCTACACAGGTAATTAAATTTCTACACCTGTTTGATTTTGAGACCCTCAGTATGTAACTCATACCTCATTACAGTTAGTGGTTACTTCTTTCTTCTTGCTTTCATTGACTTGTTTGTCTAATTGTTCTTTCAGTTTTGCTTCTGAATCTATCAATATAGTGGTGTCTGCATATGTTGTTCAGGCTATATGCACTAAATACTGGTAGGTCTTCTAGTCCTCTTATAATCAGTATTAATTATGACAATGCTTCATAATAAATTCTGATGAACATCATATCAATGTTCAATCTTGGATCAATTTTGTTTACCTTTATGTCTGACTTTTGCAATTTTTTTATTTGGCATAACAATTATGAAGACAGTCTAAAAAATAAAATTTGAACTTATCAAAGCTCTTGAGAAAAGTTAAATAAGATTCAGATATATAACTTCCCATATATACCACTCAGAAATACTTACCACATAATGGTAAGACATTAATGGCAATGATTGTTTTCATTTAGTTAATGTCTTTTTATTTCTAGGAGATATATGTTGGGTGTATTTCTGCTGCACTCTGTATTATCAACATTATACTGAGATTAATATTATACTAGCAACAATATTATGCTGACATTAATATGGGGACATGACCAAGTTTCAAATGTGTTCATTCTGACTATGAGAATCTCACCATTGTTGATTTGTCAAGAAGGAAACGTCTTGATAATCTATGGAGATGATCTCAGCATGTGGCACCATTAGAAAGTGCCTGAAAACCAAAACCTAAGCCTTGTGAATGAAACTAGATAAATGAAACTATTTGGTGGGGTGTGTTTATGGTTGTTATTGTTGTGACCAAGGAATTGGTTAAGGAATAACAAAATAAGAGGTTGCAGATAAATAGCATATTGAACAGTAAATACAACAGAAGTGTGTTACACGACTTGGGAGTGTGTGTCGGTTGACCAGCGTTCAGTTCTGTTTCCCTGAGGCCTACTTTTCCTACTAACTTTATGGTAAGTGGAAGAGTTCACAATAGCCTTATTAGAGGGAAGACATCACAACAGTTAGCAGAAATGGTTTCAGTGTACTGGCCTTCTTTAAATACATACCAGATTATACACTCTTTCCAAGTAATTGCAACTAATGCTCACTCAGCAAAATTGCAATCTGGACCACAAGTTGGCATTGTAGGTATTAAAGAAACACAAATGTACCTGAGCAAGTATCTGCAACAGGGATTAGTTAACCATCCCAGTAGACTCCCCTGTCTCCAGAGATTAATGGATGACAACTGCTATGGACACCAATGCCAACATAATGTCAATATCTTGTGAATATACTAGACTTTTTTTTATCATTTCACCCCAAGCAAGTCAATAAAGCCACCAAGATGCAAGGGTTTACTGAGTGTTAGAGAATATGAGAAAAAGAAAACACTATTAAGGTGAGAAGTCAATAAGAGAGCAAGAATTAAGAAGGCTGAAGATAACAATAGACATTGCATTTAAATTTTTGAAGATCAAAGTTGACAGGGAAGCAAGAAGCCAGAAAAGAGTTCCACAAGCAAGAAGTGTGATACAAGAAACTGTTAGCATAGAAGTTACAGTGACATCTAGCGGCCATTTCAACTGTAAAATGGTGAGACATTTCTGCCAATCTAGTATTGTGTATAGATTCATAGACTCTAGATACCATAGAGGAAAGTTCATCAGAACAATTACCATGAAGATATTTATAGAAAAGAGACATGGAAGCTACATTCCGGTGGCGGGAAAGTGACTGAAGCTGAGATGCCAGGTCAAGACCAATAACATTGCAGATTCTTCTTTGGATTTTATCAAAAATTTCTAAATAGGAGCACCAGACCATATTTGGCAGCAATATTCAAAGCATGATAGATTCTGGTGAGAAAAATTGCTTAGCTCAACACAGTGAACTAGTGTTCCTAGCTACAGCCTTAGCAATTGATTCAATATACTCTTTCCAACACATATCAGCAGAAAACGTTAAATTCATGACATTGTTAACATTATTTTGTAGAACCAAGTCTCTTCATCTGTGAGGAGATTGTCCATCATTCACTGCCATATAGGAAGACCAATATTAAATAACTGTTCAGGTCAGAATAGGCTAAAGTGCCTAAATTGGAGCCATACAATAAAGAAATCCATTCATAATAATTTCATCATTACAACAGGTTATCTGAACAGGTCTTGTTAATTTTCTACAGCAAATGTTTATTTTACATTTATTGTAGATCTTTCATATTATCTGAATTACTATTAAGAGGCAGTTATCCATTCAGAAGGGTCAGTCTGTCATAACTGACAATGTATATATGAGTTATTGCTAGAGTTTATAATTATAGACAGAATTGATTACTTATTATTCTTTTTATTGATCTGTCATTGCAGGTTTGTGAAAAGATATAATAATTAGTAGCTAAATAATGTAAACAAAGAACTGGATTCATACTTTACCAAATGCCTTAGTAGAACATGACATCCTTGTTATTTACACCCTCGTTACCCTTTATCAGCTCCATTGTTTATTCCTCACTTGACATTATTTTCTCTTTAAATTTAAATCTTTTTCTATGTCCTCTCACTTTCATTGTCTCCCTTAGTACTTCTTCAAACTCTGTCCTGCAGGAGGAGATCTCTATGAGTCTCTTTTCACCCCAAGCAAGGCAATAAAGCCTCTAAGATACAAGAGGTTACTAAGAATGAAGGAAACTGAAAAAAACATTGCTGAGGAGAAAAGACAGTAAAAATAGGATTCAGGGAGTCTGATAATGATGGCTGATGCTGCATGTAAATTATTGAAGGTCATATTTGACAGAAAAGATAATAAATGGAAGAAAGTTCCACAGGTGGGAATTACAAGTGAAAAACTGTTAGAATAGAACTTATGCTTACACTTAGCAATTTTAACAATAAGATGATAAAACCTATCTTCCAATCTAGTACTACACATAAATTCATGGAGTTGTTGTACCGAAGAGGAAAGCTCATCAAATCAATTGCCATGAAAACATTATAGAAAATGTTTTCTTTTATATGTTTTCTTCTAATTTCTTTATTTTTCTCTCTCACTTTACTCCTAATCTTGATTTCAGATTGTTAATTATTATTTCTCTTAACTCTTTGAAAGGTCTCTCTTTGAATTCTTTCTCATCAGCTAAAATT